CGTGCTCCCAAATGCAATCGGCAACCTCTCCACCACTCTCCAAATTTTCCGTGTAGCAAGTTGTAACATTAGAGGACGAATTCCACAGGAGATTGGCAATCTAAGCAGCTTATACAAGTTGATTTTAAGGTCCAATGACATTATAGGATTTTTGCCTACAACCATTCAGGCTCTTCAAAGTCTTCAGAGGTTCAGCATATCAGACAACATATTAAGAGGGTCATTTCCAGATGTGGTCTGTGGACTAAGAAATTTGTTTAGGATAGGTTTAGGCCAAAATAAATTTTTAGGTCCAATCTCAGATTGTTTAGGGAATATTTCTTCCCTGAGAGAGATCAATCTATGTGAAAATGAATTCACTATCTTCCCTCCCATCCTATGGAGCCTTCAAAATCTTTTCAAGCTGGATTTGCGTTCCAATAACTTGAGGGGTTCTCTACCTCAAGAAATCGGGAATGCAAAAACGGCAATACATATTGATCTCTCACATAACAAACTATCCGGGGAAATTCCCAGTACCATTGGAGGTTTGACATCGTTAATGAACTTCTTTGTGGCTCATAATGCAATCCAAAGTTCTATTCCTGACACATTTGGCAAAGTCCTGGATCTACATTCTTTAGATCTTTCTGATAATAATTTGTCAGGAACGATTCCCAAGTCATTGGAGGGACTTAAGAGCATGAATTATTTAAATATTTCATACAACAGATTAACTGGAGAGATTCCGAATAGAGGCCCTTTTGCCAACTTCACCTATGAATCATTCTTGTCAAATGATGGTCTATGTGGTACTCCTCGAATGCATGTCCCACCTTGTCCTGCCAATACTCCGCGTACTTCAAAGAGCAACAGAGTGGTTCTGTTTGTACTTGTCTCGTTGACAATTCTTGTAGTGTTTATTGTCTCTATCGGTGTATACTTAATTTTCAAGAAGCGCATGAGAGAGCTTCCCAGTGAACTTGACTTGTTGTCCACAATAACACCGGCAAGATTTTCGTATTATGAACTCCAACGGGCAACAAATGGATTCGAAGAAAGCAACTTGTTAGGTCTCGGTAGCTTCGGGTCGGTTTATAAAGGGACTTTAGCAAATGGGATGCATGTGGCTGTAAAGGTTTTTCGTTTGCTAAATGAAGGTGCAAGTAGGAGTTTTGAGGCTGAATGTGAAGTTTTACGCAACATTCGTCACAGAAATCTTACAAAGGTTCTTGGCAGTTGCTCCAACTTGGATTTCAAAGCATTGGTGCTAGAGTACATGCCTAATGAAAGTCTGCAAAAGTGGTTATATTCTCACAATTATTTCTTGGATATGATACAAAGAGTGGGTATAATGATCGATATAGCATCGGCTTTGGAATATCTTCACAATGGTTACTCCAAACCTGTTATCCATTGCGACTTGAAACCCGGCAATGTCTTAATAGATGCTGATATGGTGGGACATCTTAGTGACTTTGGCGTTGCAAAGCTCTTAGAAGATGGGAATTCTATTGACATTACAAACACCTTAGCAACATTTGGTTACATTGCTCCAGGTAAATGTTTTAGTTTTTTTTTTTTTTTTTTTTCACTTTTTGGATTTGGTTTTAACAACATTCATCACATAACATTATGCATTTCTTATGGTTGTATCCTATTTAATTTTGCCCTGCTTCTAGAGTATGGACAAGAAGGTCTTGTGTCCACGCGTAGTGATATGTACAGTTTTGGTATCATGTTGCTTGAAGTTTTCACAAGGACTCAGCCTACAGATGAAATGTTCAATGAAGATTTAAGTCTAAAAAGTTGGGTGTACAATGCATTTCCTACAAATATAGGTCAGATTATAGACCCAAATTTACTTAGACCGGATGAAGAAAGGTACGATGAAAAATTGCAATGTGCGTTGGCTATTTTTGAGGTAGGCTTGAAATGCTCAGCAGAATCCCCTCGAGAGAGGATGGCCATCAAGGATGCGTTACCAGTATTGGAAAAGATCAAAGTTAAACTTGTTTCGCTGTATGCAAGAACTTGAAATAGTATGCATAGCATATCATATTGTATATCTTTGTTTAAAATGCAAATTAAATGTGACAGTTCTGTTTGTAGCTTTCTGCATATTTATACACCTAAATTTAATTTATTTGCCTCTTATAAGCTCTCTAGTTTTGTGTTGCACCAAGAATATAGAAAAAAAAGTTACATATTTAATTTGTACCTGAAAGGGATGGCCAAGAAGCTGAGTAAAGTATGATTTTCGTATCAAACTCGTCATATGGGATTTTTTTTAGTGTGATTTACCTATTTTCTATAGTTTATCATTTATGCAAAAACTGAAGTAGCATGTATATATACATTATATAGCATCTCTTAATGTATATTTCCTGAAAATGGAAATAAAATGCAGCAGATAGACTTTTTGTACACAAGTGGAATAACATCATTTGCAGTTGTTTTGAAATACAGAGCATAAGAAAGAAAAATGATCCAAATCATTTAGTCGTAACAGTTCGTTTTGTTGCCTTGTGCATATTTTAAACTTTATTTACCTCAGCTCCTATATAACTCTCTAAGATCTCTAGTTTTCTGTTGGACCAAAAATATACAATTGCAATGCTCTTTAAAAAAATTAAAAAAAAAAAAAGAAGAACTTTTTCAATATTACATTGTGGACCTTAATTCAAAATAACGTTATTTTGTTTAAATTAGCACAATTTTTTTATTTTATTTTTTTTTACTTCATCCACTATCCGTCAACACACATCCTCACCAGACTCTCCCCTAATAGCAATCATATTTGTTATTTTATGTTATTTTACCAAAGTAATTGCTTGCATCATTTTCACCCGAAATTCAAGCAAAAGAAGAGCATGTGAATGGAGTTATGGAGGACAGACGATAACCAATGATTTTGACCATATATTGAATACTTGGTGGTTGAAATTTTAATTAGATTTATTTCTCTAGTACCAACTTTGGTAGTAAGCCATTAAATTTGAAGGTAAAATTGTATGTACTAGTCTGGAAGGAGGGCCCGTCAATCAAACACACTCCTCGCATTTGAATAATCACGGGTTCGATTTTTAACAGCAACCTAGTTAAGCTACTCATACATAGATATTTTAGTGATTTACCCTTGCACACCCTCTATACAGTTAGCTGAGGGCAACTCACAAAAATTTTGCATTATAATTGTGAACTGGAATCAAAACCATCTATACAGTTCCAATTTAGGTAGGCCGGGTTCTTACAATACACGATTTAATTCAAATTGAACGTAGAATTCAAACTGCACCGTGACGATCTCTATGCTACAAGACTTAAGAGTCAACTAAGATAAGTTTCCTTCAAACTCGCTTTACTCTCAATTGGTGAGCAATAAATAAATACAAGATGAAAGGTTAGTTGTAGGCCAAATCCATGAAAGTAGTTGAAACTTGAAAGCAAATTAAAGGAGGTGTACGCAATAATTTGCCCAGCAGGAATGGTCCAGTCTTGACCTAGTCCAACCTCTCCAAACATTTATACGAGTTAATATAATATTCTTGAGTATAGTGATTTTGTAACGTTTTGTTTTAAATTTTCAGACTTACCAGATGTGGCTCTCAAATTGTTATTGAATTTTTAACTGAAAAATATAACATGTTTACACAATACTTACACTTAAAATGATACATTTATGGTGCCTGTAGACGGACTGTTGTGGTTCAGTAACCAGGGGCTACAAGTTACTGTATTCTGATCTGAGTGTTTCCAGCTAACTGATCCAATTTCTGCAGGGGCTAATAATAAAGTCCCTGCCCCGCCATACACTTAATTCCATGCTTGCTAGAGCTGATGAGAATTGATGTTTTGTATTCTTGCATGCATACAGCCAATACGTAGTGGCCTGGGGTCGTCAACTTGAGAGTAAAGACCCGTAGGATACGGAAGTATGAATTGAAGTCATATATTATTGGATTTATTGCAATTCAATAATGCATTTTCCTTCAGATAAATAATAGATAATTGAAGTCCACTCCTTGAGCTGATTTGGTAGTATTTATTAGTAGTATTTATTCATGGAAACCTTAACTAGCCTGTATTGTCTCAACTCTCATATATGCCCGCATACTAACATGGAGATCAGAAAGTTATCTTCTCTATTCTCCTTGTTCATTTTAGCAATGCCTTTCATACCCAGCGCCCAACCCACCAACATCACCACTGATCAATCCTCTCTTCTTTCTTTGAAATCCTACACCACCTTAAGTCCCAACCATACATTGGCAAATAACTGGTCAATCAGTGCTTCTATTTGCAACTGGATTGGAGTTGTTTGCGGATCCAAACACCATAGAGTGGTCGCATTAGACATATCAAATATGGGTATTGTGGGTACCCTTCCTCCACAACTAGGCAACCTCTCTTTTCTTGTTTCTCTTAACATAAGTCACAACAGTTTCTATGGAAATTTGCCTAGAGAGTTAGCCAGCCTACGCCGACTACAATACTTAGATTTTGGTTATAATAATTTTAGTGGAAAAATTCCAGAGGAGATTGGCAATCTTGAGCATGCAAAATGGCTAATATTGGAAGTTAACCAACTTGATGGGCCTATCCCCTTCACCATCTTCAACATTTCCACATTACAAAATTTGGTCCTTAACAAAAATAGCTTTTCTAGCACTCTTCCAATGAAACTATGTCAACATGCTACAAGACTCAAAGTGCTTCACTTGTATTCCAACAAGTTGAGTGGTGATATTCCAAAGAATTTATCAGGTTGCTCAGAACTTGAAGTTTTGCAGTTGGGTTACAATAATTTTGTCGGGATAATTCCGAGAGAGATTGGGAGCTTAAATATGCTTCGTACTTTAAATCTCAGAAATAACAACATAGAAGGTATGTACGTTCAATTCCTTCATTTGACTATTAGAGTAATGTGAAACCTTTAAAAATGATAAATTTAATGGTTTTCTTTAATAATTCTAATAAATACATTATACATATAACTCATTTTTGATTTGATTTTGTAGGAACAATACCAGAAACAATATTTAACATTTCTACACTAACTTATTTAGACATGGCAAACAACCATCTCTTTGGTATTCTTCCACCAAACATGTGTTCACATCTTCAAAAGCTTGAAAAACTTTACTTGTATGCGAACAAGCTATATGGCAACATTCCAAGGAGCATAGCTGAATGCTCAATGCTACAAGCTCTTCAACTTACTAAGAATTCCTTGTCAGGTATGGAATGTAAATCTCCTCTTTTTTTATTGTCTTGCACTCTCAACATGTACAATTTTTTTTTATTTTTTATTTTTTTATAGGAATAAGGATCAAATAGGCCACTCAACTGCACATCAAACTACAATTAGGCCATCGAACTAAAAAACAATGCAATTAGGTCCCTGAACAATACAAAATCATACAATTAGGTCCAAAATGACCTGTTTACCTGAAAGAGCAGGTTACCGATTTTTAAAATAAAATAATTAATTAAAATTAAGAAAAAAAACCCATAATCCACCCCCGGGGGTTGGTCTCCGGCCATGGACCGAAAGTCCATGGCCTCCTCTCTTCGTCTCCAAGAAAGAGCCTTTTCCAGCACCGCCGTTTCTCAGTTCCCTGCTCTTTCATCCCCATGGACTCCGCCAAAACTAAGGTCGTCGGAGTTGGTGGCGGCGGCAATATGCCGTTAACCGCATGATTGGCAATAGCTTACAGGTCCGTTTGTATTTTTTTTTTTTTTGGCTTTTGTTTTCAGAATTTGTTGCTATTATTGTTTGGTAATGTTAGATTGTTGGCTGGTTTATAATTCTTAAAGTTTAATGCCATAGAGACGAACCAAATCCACCGTCAGAGGTTCGCGGCCATGGAGACAAACTTCTGGTAGATTAGTTTTTTTTTTTTTATTTTATTTTAATTAATTATTTTATTTTAAATTATTTTAAAAATTGTTAATCTGCTCTTTCAGGTAAACAGGTCATTTTGGACCTAATTGCATGATTTTGTATTGTTCAGGGACCCAATTGCATTGTGTTTTAGTTTGATGGCCTAATTGTAGTTTGGTGTGCAGTTGAGTGGCCTATTTGACCCTTATTCATTTTTTATATTGATGAGCTGCAAAATAAAAGGAAGTTATTATAATGCAAATATAGGAATACATTCCATTATGAAATCAACATATGGATATTGTATTTGTTCATGATTTAGCAAGGGTAACTCTAATTGGCAGGTGAAATACCAAGAGAGATTGGGAGCTTGAATATGCTTCAGGTTTTAATACTCGATAAGAACAACTTGGAAGGTAAGTATGTGCCTGCATTTAGCTAGCAATTAACTAGAATTTGACAATGCTAAAATATCTTGGACTTACTGAAAATTCCTTGTTAGGTATGGAATGAAGATCTCTTCTTTTTTTTTAATTGTCTTGCGCTCTCAACATGTACAGCTTTTTATTGAGCTGCAAAATAAAAGAAAGTTATTATAATGTAAATCTAGGAATAAACTCCATCATGACAATTGACAACTACATATGGATATTGTATATGTTCGTGACTTAGCTTGGGTAACTTTAATTTGCAGGTGAAATACCAAGAGAGATTACGAGATTGAATATGCTTCGGATTTTAGTACTCAATAGTAACAACTTGGAAGGTAATAAGTATGTCAGTATGTGCTTGCAAGTTGCAATTAGCTACTAGAGTAATGTGAAACATTTAAAAATGACCAATTTTAATGATTTTTATGTAATAATTCTAATAAATATATATATTCACAGTGCATATAACTCATGTTTTGAAACATATATAACGTTAGTTTTTTTGTAAAACCAACATCAAAACGATAAATTAATATATAATTTTTTTAAATAACACTTCAATGTCGGTTTTTTTTTTTTTTTAACCAATGTAGTATATCACAAATTAAAAAATAAAAATAAAAAAGAGTATTAAATACGGCGTCGGTTTTATAAGAAAACCATGAACCATAGAGGCTAGACCGGTGCTCACTGTGCACAAGGAACCCCCTCACTTTAAGAGGTTGCTTCCACACTGCCGCTGGTGAGACTCGATCCTTGGTCATTCTTTCAAAGTTTCACCTCTATGACCAGTTGACCTGCGCCATGCGGGTCAACTGGTCATAAGAAAACCATTGTTGTATGTGTTGTAATTTTTTAAATTAAAACAAAATACAACATCGGTTTTCTTTAAAAACCAACGTCATTATGTAAAAAAATTTAAACATATTAAAATGACAACGTTTCATTTATTTACTAATTTTATATTCCTTAATATACTACGTTGGTATATAAAACCGACTTCATATATTTAATGAATAAAAAATAATAATACCATATACAACATTGGTTTATGTCAAAATTCACTACTGGAAATTATGAATTTCCGATCACCTGAAAGTGATCTTAAATCAAGTCGAAAGCCTTGTTCCGACCGCTTTTGGTATCCGGAAAAACATTTAATTTGTTGCTATTTCCGACCACTTTTTACTTTCAACTTGATTTAAGATTACTTTCAGGTGGTCGGAAATTTCATAATTTCCAGCAGTGAAACCGACATCATATATCACATAATATTTTTAAAAAAATTATAAAAGAGTATAATATACCACGTTGGTATATACTATTTTTTTTATTTGTGATATACAACGTCGATTTTTTTTTTTATATAAAAAAACCACTAATGTTAAAGTGTTTTTTTATTATAAATTTATTTATCGTGTTGACGTCGGTTTGACCAAAAACCGATGTTATATATATGTGAGACGTTATATGTTATTTCTATTGTAGTGACTGTATTTGTTCGTGACTAGGGCAAATTGAATATTACATTGACAGGTGAAATACCAAGAGAGCTGGGCAACCTTGATAAGCTACAGTTTCTTGACTTGGATGATAATGGATTTAGTGGTTCTATTCCGTGGGGAATTTTCAATATTTCAACACTTGAACTACTAGCATTGGCATTTAATAAATTTTCAGGTACTCTTCCAACATCTTTAGGTTATTGGCTTCCCAATTTGGAAGAACTGTACCTGGACGTAAACTATCTTAGCGGAGTTATACCTCCCCATATCTCAAATGCTTCTAACCTTGGTCTTCTTGAACTTAGCACGAACCAATTCACAGGCTTCATTCCCAATTCCCTTGGAAACTTAGCACAAATCAAATATCTTAGTCTGGCTGAGAACAATCTTACAATTGATTCTCAATTTAGCCTTATCACTTCATTGGCAAACTGTAGATATCTCCACACACTACTGTTATCATCTAACCCTTTAAACACTGTGTTCCCAAATGCAATCGGCAACCTCTCCCACACTCTCCAATATCTCGACCTAGAAAATTGTAACATCAAGGGACGAATTTCAGAGGAGATTGGCAATCTGAGTAGCTTATACATGTTGAGTTTAGGGTCCAATGACATTATAGGATTTTTGCCTACAACCATTCAGGCTCTCCGGAGTCTTCAGAGATTTGACATACACAAGAACAGATTAATAGGACCATTTCCAGATGTGATATGTGAACTACAGAATTTGTTTTGGATAGATTTAGGAAAAAATAAATTTTCAGGTCCAATCTTGGATTGTTTAAGGAACATTTCTTCCTTGAGAGAGATCTATCTATATGAAAACGAATTCAGTGCCTTCCCAACTAGTCTATGGAGCATTCAAAATCTTTTGAAGCTCGACTTGAGTTCGAATAACTTGAGCGGTTCTCTACCTCAAGAAATCGGGAATGCAAAGACGGCAATACTTATTGATCTGTCACATAACAAACTATCTGGAGACCTTCCCAGTAGTATTGGAGGTTTGACAGAGTTGATGAATTTTTCTGTGGCCCATAACAAAATCCAGGGTTCTATTCCTGACACATTTGCAAAACTCCTGGATCTACATTCATTGGATCTTTCTCATAACAAAATCTCCGGAATGATTCCCAAGTCATTAGAGAGACTTGTGAGCATGAAGTATTTCAATGTTTCATACAACAGATTAACCGGAGAAATTCCGAGTGGAGGTCCTTTTGCCAACTTCACTTATGAATCATTCTTGTCAAATGCTGGTCTATGTGGTACTCCTCGGATGCATGTCCCACCTTGCCCTGCTAATACTCATCAGATGCATCAATCAAAGAAGAACAGAGTGGTTCTCATTGTACTTGTCTCCTTGGCAGTTCTTATAGTGCTAGTTGTGTCTGTTATTGTATACTTGATTTTCAAGAGGCGCAAGAAGTTGCTTCCCAGGGAACCGGACTTCTTGTCGGCAGTAACACCAGCAAGATTTTCATACAATGAACTCCAACGGGCAACCAATGGATTTGATGACAGCAATTTGCTAGGTAGGGGGAGTTTTGGTTCTGTTTATAAAGGGACTTTAACAAATGGGATGCTTGTGGCTACCAAGGTTTTTCGTCTGCTACATGAAGGTGAAAATAAGAGTTTTGATACCGAATGTGAAGTTTTGCGCAACATTCGTCATAGAAATCTCACAAAGGTTCTTGGCAGTTGCTCCAACTTGGATTTTAAAGCATTGGTGCTCGAGTACATGCCTAATGGGAGTCTACATAAGTGGTTATATTCTCACAATTATTTTTTGAATATAATACAAAGATTGAGTATAATGATAGATGTGGCATCTGCATTGGAATATCTCCACTTTGGTTACTCTGAGCCGGTTATTCATTGTGACTTGAAGCCCAACAATGTGCTAATAGATGCAGACATGGTGGGACATTTGAGTGACTTTGGTGCCGCAAAGCTCTTAGGAGATGAGAACTCCATGGCCTTTACAAATTCCCTCGCAACAATTGGTTACATTGCTCCAGGTATATGTTTCATTTTATTTAACTTTCTGGATTTGGTTTTAGAATGTTTCACATAATAGTTTGCATTTCTAATGGGTTATATTCAAATTTTGCATTGGTTTAAGAGTATGGACGAGAGGGTCTTGTGTCTACTCGCAGCGATATGTACAGTTATGGTATCATGTTGATTGAAGTTTTTACAAGGACACAACCTGGAGATGAAATGTTCAATGAAGATTCAAGTCTAAGGAGTTGGGTGCAGAATGCATTTCCAACGGAAATAGGTCATGTTATAGATCCCAACTTACTTGGACTAGATGAGGAAAAGTACGATGAAAAGTTACATTGTGTTATAGCTATCTTTGAGCTGGGCATGAAATGTTCAACAGACTCCCCAAGAGAAAGGATGGTCATCAAAGATGCCTTACCAGCACTAGAAAAGATCAAAGTCAAACTCGTTTCGCTATATGCAAGAACTTAAAAGTAGTATGCATAGCATATACGTACTATTTGAAGTTTAAGTATAATTTTATGTACTGTTTAAAGAATCAATGTTAAAAGAATCATAATTCTGAATTTGTGACTTGTGTATCTAACCGATCCTATTTCACTAACTTCTTGATGGGGCGGCTCTTGCATTCTTATAATGATCACTAACAAAAAAGGTATATATTCAAATCGTTCATAAATATGAGTTTAATAGCTCATAAACCACAACAAAAAAAATAAATCGCACTAAGAATTAAACTTGTGACATTAAGTACAAGAACCATATTCCATATGCTCGAGTACTCATTTTGCGGCAAAGAATTTATTTTTTAATGAATAGATATAATGTGGGAAAGTCAATTGAATAATCATATTGTTGAGGTTATTTTTCTTGATTTATTGGCCAAACCAATAATATTCACAAACTATTTGAGTGTTTTCAAAATAATAATAATAATATCAACACACTTAGCTTCCAAGAAGGGGTCAAGACTAACATCACTAGTCAAGATTTATATCTATGAATTAGACCAACTGATCAGGGGTCATGAAAATATAAGATAAAATAGATAGATAGTTATTTTAAAGGATAGAAAAGATGATTCTAAGTTCACAAGGAGTCGAAAAACCGAGAGTTAGTTAGAAAACACTCCGTATCTAGTGCTTTTCCCTTAGCTTTTTGCGATCGGATGACGGCGGCGCCAGGGGCCACCGTGCCCCCTCCCCGCACCTTTGCGGATATCCTTTCGAACACCACCTCGCCGCCTCCTATTCGCCCTCCGGGGAGATACAAAGGAATGCCTTCCGTTTCTTTCTCGGATGAAGATGTTCATCTCTTTTTCACAGAAGTTCAAATTCGCGATCGTTGGTAAATTTGCGAAAAGTAGGCCGCCAATGACCGATCTTAGGAAAGCCTTCGATCAAATAGGTTGAAAGTTGATTAATTAATCATTACTCCACTTTTTATTTATAATAATTGAAAGTTGAAG